GCACTAACCGCGTAGTTTGTGTTTAAATAAAAAGAGCCGATTGTCTGAGTTGCTAATGTTCACTTTAGTGAGCAAAGCAGTCGCAAAACAATGATTGTTTATTGTATATGTCCGTCCTCGTCTTAAAAATTAAACAAAACTTAAACTTGCTTTTACCTGAATCATTCTCGGTAAAAAAAAGAAGGATAACAAATCTGACGACTATCGTTATATAACTAAAAGCGACTGCAGCATCGACTTCCGAATTTCTATCTTGTGTGTCGTGCAATCGATTACTGACGAGAGGCGCATCTAATTTTCATTCAACATTTTTTAAAGTAAACAAGCAAGATCATAGTCGAGCAAGGCCGACTATTAGACACCTTAGACTACTTCACCTAATACAGACATTAACCCGTTTTCGTGATAATACATAAAAAACTGTACATTATTTTTAATACTTTATAACCTTGATGAGAGCCGCCACATTGGAGCATGTTCAAAGCGTGAACTAACGTGGTCTACATTTAGCAAACTCGATTTTCTTGTCAAAGATTTTAGTAATTTCACCATAAAAAAAGTACAAGTTAGACTTTGTCCCTGAGACAAGCTTAAAGCGAAAAGTGATTCCGATTCGATCGGTACAACAACGGTCGTGTCTATTTAATATTCTTCCGGATATTGCGTACAACCGCACCAACTTAACATACCGTTGTAGCACAAACAGTGGAAGGCATAAGAAACGAAGAAATTCATTTTATTTCATTGTTTCACTTCAACCAAAAGATCTTAACCCCCTTAGAGGACTACGTTCCCAAGTTATTAGATTTCCGAAAGTTGATAGACCTCGTTTGATAATTCGGCCATAAAAAATGTCACATAACGGCACAAAAAAGTGATGGTCAGCAAAAGAGCTGATATGATGCTACTCTTGCAGGAAAAGAAGTGAAAGCAAGCGGAGGGTGAGGACAAGAGAAGCTTTGCTAGAAACATAAATGATTTTTAAGGATTTGATGAAGAAAGAAGTGGGAGACAAATGAATGCAATCACGAAAACAGTATTAGCTATGGAAAAAGGCAAATAAAGTGAGCAAAAAAAGACTAATTCAAAAGCATCTTGTATTCGTGAATTGTTGGATATCGACGCAAACAGAATGTTCCCTTTGTGTAAGTGTATCGATTATCTTCTTACGTCATTTCACTTTCGCCCCATTTATATCGATATGTATAAAGGAAAACAAAAAAAAAGTGGAAAACGCTACAAGCGAAAGATAAACTGAACTTCGACACATGTAAATAGGAGCGAACGATAATAATTGAGTTTTCACGGCAAAAAGGCCAGGCATAGAGAACTTTATGACGATAAAGGCACGATTTCTCTTTGGCGTACGTTGAATAACGAAATATCCTCCAACATGATGCAACCTATACACTTACACACATATGAATGTTGTCGTGATCAAAAAGCGGTTATATTCATCGAAATATACATAAAACTATTCATTTGGATAAGTTCGCGTGATTGAAGTTGAAAAACTTTACAAAGTTTCACTTATACTATTAAACATGTAGATTGGCTGAAAAGTTGCCGGCCTAAGCGTTAAGATGCCAGCACTTGACGTTTTTATTTGGCATTTGTTTGAACGAATCGACGGTAAGTGCTTTTGTGAAAGCGAAAAAGATTAAGCATCGATTTGTATTTAAATATTTGTTTTCAAAAGGCTGCACACCTACACAAATGAACTGCGACTTGCATGCTATGCACGGAGACTCTGCACTATCAGCTATGACGTTGAAATTGTGGCCGTATCCGCTTGGATGACGACGAGTGTTCACAACGAACAAGAATCGGTATTGTTGCTGTAGTGACGAAAACGTCACCAAAGTTCTTCAGATTGTGTTGGACGACAATCTAGTTATGCTTAGAGAGATAGCAAACGCTCTGATTATGTCTAAAGATCTTGTTTGCAGCATATCGCACGTCGGCTGTTGCTTTTGCTCTCATTGCATCAAAATTGAATTAAAATCCAAATAAAACAGTGTTTTGGCGTCGATTAATTGCTGGAGATGAAACCTGAGAACACTAGCACACTTTAGTCAAAACAATGACCTGCGGGCAAACAATCGACTCCAGAAAACCAAGTGGTTTCTCTTCGGCTAGGGAAGCGGTAACGATCGTTTTTTAGCGCAGTTGTGGGTTTATCTTTTTAGATTAGAACTGCTTGAGTTCACTAGATCCGACTAAACCTAGGCGAAGGATTGTGTTTGAAGGGCAGGATGCCCTCACCGTCATTGAGAAATATTTTGTAGTGAAAATTTCGAAGTACTACGTGGATGGCTTAAAGGATGGAAGCGGCACTGAAGCAGGGAGACTACGTGGAAAACAAATTATATTTAAAAACAAAATTTCTTACTTCTCTCCTCTGTCGGAAGCTTTTCAGACAACCCTCGTATATTCATCGTTCTGTTTTTAAAATGCATCAAATTCTAAATGGCGTGGATTTATTTAGTACGTTCGCCTTGATGTCGAAAACCGACACCATGTATATTGCACATGCCTTCAATTACTTTGATCATGGACTGAAGCAATTAAAAAAAAGAAAAAAACAATCGAGAAAATTATATTCAGCGGCTGCTGAATCTTCCACCTCCATCCACCTCGTCCTCCATTATGCCTCGTATACCCTCGTGACGTCCGCGATATTTAATTCAGAGTTAATTCCTCTTGTTTGACACCCAATTGAGGATACTGTTATGGACACGCTGTGGGGTCCACAATATGTATTTTAGCACGAACACATTTGCAAATAAACAATATACCCTCATGTGGGGCATGTACAGGATAACTTTCAATATTCTGACTTACTTAACTGACAGAGGACCTGAAAAAAGTGAAAAAAGATAAAAATGTTTTCACTTTTAAGTTTTTGTAGGCATGAACGATTTTTTCCAATTTTGCAAAGGTGCTGCCCATAGAATGTAAATACAAATTTTTTATCGTTGTATCGAATGTGATTTATAAGTGACAGGTAAAAAAGGTAATTATTTCTATTTTTGAAAACAGAAATGGTCTCGGATTTTGTTGCACTGTGGTTGTATCCTTTGACCCATTTTTCCTATTTCCAATGCCAACCAAAGGGCACGAACTTCCAAATTCGAAGCCGACGGCTTAATTTTTGCGGCCAGCAAAATCTTTACAACAGACATTATGCAGACGGACAGCCCGATCTGCTTAAATCGATTGAGAATTTGATGCTGATCAAGAATATGTATACCTTGTGGGGTATCTGAAGCTTCGTTCTGGGCGTTGCAAATAAAATAAAAAAAAAACAATGCAAAAAAATTTGAAAATCGTAAGCTTTAAATATTCCGCAGTCAAGAATCGTTGTTATTAATCTTTGCAACGTTCATATTTTGACAAAAATTTTCCATAAAAAAAAAAACAAAAAAAAAAAAAAAAGAATTCTTTTTATTGTATTCTTCGAAAACAAAAGCCGATGATAAATAACATTTTCGCTTTGGTGCAACAAGGCAATAAATCATGCCTGGGTTTAATGAACTTTTCAGTTTCACTTATGGGAGCAGAAGGTTCGATACCCAAACAAAAGATATCTGTTTTATTGTTTAATAAAATCCGCAATGCAGGAAGAAGCGAAAACAATACCATTGATCCGAGTAGGTTACGAGGATAAGTAAGGAATTACATTCGCATAAGTATGAGTCTTGCGAGTACATTAAATTTGAAAGCTATTTTATTGATTGAGATCTTTTCCTCTCGGAAATTTAGATCCATACATATATATATATATATATATATATATATGTGGCTGCAGTGAGTATTTCCTCCAACTGCTTTTTTTTTTTTGGTTAAATCAATCAAAACAATTTTCTTTCACAATTCCTTGATTTCGTAGTATCCCCCTATGCTATGCTAAACAAGTGTTGGGCTTAATCCCCCATCAGTCAACACGCAACCCTATTAAGAAGAACATTGGGCAATACATCCTCGTAGATGATCGATATGCGCTATAGCTTTCCATACTCAAAATTTGACCTGTGCTCAAAAAAAAGGTACAAATAACCAAGCCTTGCCACCACGCAAATACAAGCACAAACGCCAAATTGTAAAAATTTACAAGCACACAAACCAATGTAATGCTTCGCTAAATTTAAACTAAGTATGTGCAATAACCGTAGGCAAGCAGCAGTCGCAAAACGTGACACTGATGCAGAAAAAAATCAAAATTGTGGCTATTCCCCCGACTCACTTGAAATGAAAATTGCAACGAAAGTTACATGGCCGTAACCGTAGCCATGATGCTGTTAAAACAGACAATCAAAACAGACAGTGCAACCGAATGAATCCATGCAATTAAAATTTACCAAGAGAAACAATTTCTTGTAGATTAAAGCGCGCTTTAACGGCCTTTCGCGTAGAATTATTGTGCGGCGGCGATTATTGTACATATGAAGCTATGTTTTAAGATGATAAACTAGAAAAGTTGTCCAGAAACTTTCGCACATGATTTGTTTTTGAATTGAAATTGAACTGAACTTGAATTGAATTTGAATAAGCGCCATAGGATAAATGCAGAGCGAATAGTTGGCGGATCACAAGCTGCATTCTTTATTGCTCGGCGAACGAATGAATGAATTCATTTTTTAGATACAAACTCAGCGAACGCAAAGACGGAACCACTTTTTTAACGGCAAAGGTTGTCATAAACTAAATACTTTTCTTAGGAACAATTATGAATTTTATAAACTTTGCCGTAGACTCCCTTTAAGAGACTTGGATTTTCATTTCCCATTTCTTATTATGTTTCATAAGCAAAGACGTTCACTTTACGTCCTATAGTTGACGACATCAAGAATCTCAAAAATAAATGAACGACTTGACTTTACAATCAGCTATTAAAACGAATGATATTAGTCTCTATACCCAATACCGAACGATGGGAGTTATATTGATTTTGTCAAAACGCTTGTTACGCCGAGAAGGAACCCTTCAGAGATCCCACAAAGTATGCATATATTCATGATCAGCATCAATTTTTGAATCGATTTGCACATGTTCGCCCGTTCGTCTGTCTGTCCTGTATCCTGGTCAAATTTGAACAGAAACATTAGCAGTTCCTGAACGCAGGTTGTATAGAGGAAATGGGGCAAATCGGTCGGATGACGCGCCTACAGTACAGTTTGCTCATTACTCACAAAAAATATAGCGGATAAATGTACAAATATATGAACGTGTACTCTATTGGTGATGCTATAATACCCGTAGAAGAATGGAGGAAATAGGCCAAGCCTACCCGTTAGTATATAGCGTATTAAAATTTAATTTATTTTTCAATATCCTTTAAAAATCCCCAAAAAGTGTATAAATTCTTGGCCAGCTTCAAATTCAGAACGCGTCCATATATATCGACTTATCCGTCTGCCCAATTATATATAATATCCATGGCAGACGTTCTCTCCTTCGCAAAAGCGAACATATCGCCCAAAAATTCAGAAAAGAATCTAAAAATGACTCAAAATGATCAAAGGTAACAACTACAACGCCCATACGCTTACGTAAAAAAGATTGTGTTCTTAGCTTGTTACACGCACCCAAGCATAAGCATGAAAATTACGCTTTTTCCCTTTTGGTTGGATCTTTTTTGGAATAACAGTGATGGGTGTATAAGATTTGGTCACGACCGAAAATAGTTTTCTTACTTCTTCAGTTTTTTAATGATCAATAGGAGCATATATATAGGGCATAGATAGATGATAAGTAGAAAAAATAAACTGATGACCATGAAAGAATCCATATGAGAAATGGAATGGCAGTGTGAGAGTTGCGGTGACCACCTAATCCAGCGATCGCCAAAGCGGTGGCCAAGCGATGGCCAAGCGATGGCCAAGCGAGTGCCAAGAAAGCTTGCCATCCCCTGATCTAATCTATAATGTCGCGTTGTAATATACTGTAATATAATGTCATGGTTAGCGCACACACAAAACTGGTATTGAAATGCATTTCCTATTCTCATTGCAAGAGTCAACGAACAATCATCATTAACAATTTGTTAGACAGCAAGCGTTAATGTTTTGAGTAGATAAGACGGTCACGGAAGAAATTATTTATATTTTGCATGCGACATGCGAAACGTGTTCGCTCTCATAGTCCTGAGCTCTTGTAGATAACCGTTTTTCTGCTTCTATTTGCAGATCTTTGCAGCAAAAAAAAAAAAAAGAAAAAAAGAAAAAGACAACAACTAAAAAAACGACCATGACAATATATAATTGACGTTATATATTCTGGAATAATAATATACCGTTGGATGCTACTCGAATTATGCCAACTACATGAAAGGAAGCAAAACACAACCACATATACGCCTTGATAAACAATGAAAAACATTTAACAAAAAGTAAAATTTACGAAAATTAATTTTTCAAAGAAAACATGGAAACAAGCATCGTGTAAATACTCAACGAAACTTAGTTATAATATATATAAAAAAAAACAAAAACAAAAATAAAAATAAAAATAAAAAAGAAGCAAATTCATTATAACCCCAAATGAAAGTGTATATATATGTATGTACATGTATATATGTATGTATGTATGCATATGTATGTGTTCGTAGACTGTGATTTTTATAACAATATAAATCTTACAGAGAAGTGAGCCGTGGAAGAGCATGAGATATAATACATACATATATGTATATACCTTACGTGTACTTAAATCTATAGCATAAGCCAAACGAAAAAAGCTTTAATTAACAGATAAAATATATATGTAAAGAAATTGTAAATAGAAATGCACTCTCTAATAACACGATATATATAACAATCTAACAACAACAATGATTACCAGAGTTTATGAAATAAAAATTCTTCCATTTAATATGAAAAAATATGAAAACTTAAACAAATTTTTCTTTTTTATTTACACCAATCAACAACAAAGATATTGGAGTAACTAATAAAATAAAATAAAATCAAATCAAATAATAAACAAAAAAAAAAAAAAAACCAAAAAATACAAGAATTTATCCTCTTCGATTTTTAAGCCTTATTTATTAATTAACGAAAATATTTATGTACATTTTCTAATATAATAATAATAATAATAATAATAATAATAATAATAGCAAAAAAGAAAAAGAAAAAATTAAATCAACATAGAAGAAAAGGAGAGCGAGGAAGAGAGTAAATAAATCAGTATAATTATTCGCAATCGAAAGCTCGTTGTTCCTGATTTATGCAAATTAATATAAAAACGTGACAAAATTATTAATTCATTAAAAAGTGAAATCAAATTATTTGAATCGCAAAAATGGACGAACTGCCGGATTTATCCTATTTGACGCCTCACGAGCGCATGCAAATCGAAAATGTTCTAATGCGTCAGAAGCAAGAGGAGGAGAAGCAAAATGAAATTATGAGGTAAATTCAAAATAATATTAGTAATAATAAATAACGGTATCTTTCATGATATCGGTTCTCACTTTAATGAAAATAATGAAGACTTAACAGCTTTATTAACAAGAACAGCATAAATATATAAAGGAAACAGTTGCTGAGCGTTTCCTTACACTATAAGAGCAATAAGTGAAAACTCTAAAGTGGGGCATTGCTCATCATTCAATACCCTACGCCTACACATTGCGCTTAACACAGTTGTTCATATAACGACTTTTTCAAATAAAATGTAATATGAAAAATGTTCGAAAAAATAATTCTATCCGAGCCGTTCGTCTTTGCGCAAAAACATGTCCGTGTATCAAATTTCATCAAGGTCTCTGCGGACTGAACACAAGAAAAGACGGACAGATGGACAAGTGAGCCCAGTATAATAAAAGCTGGGTCTACCTAGGTGCTGTATGCATCTGCACAAGCTTAAGATAGTTTTGTACCGCAAATGGTAAAGGGTATAAAAAGTAAATGAGGGGAATTTAGAACAACTTATCGTAATTCCAATGCTCGACGGGCACTCCTTTGTTTCGTACGCATGTTTTCAAAAGCACCAATCCACTCCTATAAACAATTAATTCCCTTATCCATGCCTATCATCTTTTCGGGGAAATAATTAAATTCGCAAGAAAAGGCAAAGCGAACAGAAATAATACAAGCGTTCCCCGAAACCCACTATTAATTCGCGCGAATAATATTCCACGATCCCCTCGCTATGGGAAAAAATAAATTGTCCCTCAAACCTACCAAACACAAAATATTGTCTGCTTGTCACAGCAATCTGAATGAGAAGCCATGAATTTTTACGCCCAGGATTTTCGAAATCGGTCAGTTTTTCATTCCCAATTAAAGTACGAACGAAAAAAGACTTTGTTTTATGTTGTCCGAGTAAAGAAAAAATGCTGTAGGTTAATGCTCTGTATTTGACACAAAGCTTGCCACTTTCGTTCTTAGAAAAGATATTTTTTCGCGGCGATATGCGTTGTTATTATGACTGCTTATTATTGCCAAATATCAAAGCTAGAAAAAAAAACCATGCCCTCTACAAGCGTTATTAAAGCCAAGAGCGAATTTCGATTTTACGTTTACATAACTGACAAGTAAATCACTTTTGATCCGTTCAACGTTTTCCTGAAAACGCCGACACGCGCTGCATTTAAGTGCTCAATTATTTAACAGGGAGAAGATTACTCCCTGATTATCGTACGTATCTCTTTAACAATTTTAAGGAAGCATCTATTCTATGTTGGTGGATGTAAAAATATTTTGAAGCAAAAATATTTCTTACAAGCCCTCATAATTCCTCCCTAAAGGCGAATGGCTTATTCCCTGGAAAAAAAGTTGAAAAAATATGAATCAGTAACTTAAGATTATATGACGACAGAGACGATGGAGTATAAGATTAAAGTTTTGTTAGATTTATTCCTGGTCGAGGATGCATTTATCCATTGGGTTCTCACAAGAAAATTTGTATGTTCGTGAGGCATTTGATAAACCGATTACCTTACGTGATTGTTCACACAATAAATTGGAGAAGTTAAAGTTTAGGGTTGGTTTATTAACACCGAATGTTCTTCGTATTAAATCCAAATGCATTTGTTTGGATTAAATTGAAGGAGTGTCTGACGATAGTTTAGTTCGCAGATGATCAAAATGAACTGCACTTAAACCTAAGCGCAACTGTGTGGATATTACAGTTAGGGAGAAAAGATAAAAAGAAGATTTCGCCAAACTTCTGATAACATCGGCTGCTTACCCAAGAAGGTAAACAAAAACTGATGTCTATCGAGATGGCATCAAAAACTAGAAAAAACTAGAAGTCACCCTTTCCTACTTTCATTAAGGTTGGTTTAGACTGAGATGCCCCAAGACCTTCGTTTTTCTTGCAACTAATTAAGTCTAAGATACAGCTACGGCCTTAGCTTAGCCAAAGGACATGTGAGATCGATAACAGGGACGATTTCAATTCTTCACAGTTTGTGGTTCGTGTACCAAAAAGCAAGCAACGAGAAGGAACGATATCATTACATGGTGGTCGTTTACCCAAAAACAATCAGTTGTTAATTAAAATTAAATTAAATACATTCAGTTACAGTTGCAAATAGAAGTTGACAAACACTAGTGTATATCGCAAAGCGAAACAAACACAACAAATTGAAAATCAACAAAATGTTTGCAATCGTAAACGCGGTATATGTACACACTGTAGGCAAGATTTCAGGCAATCATTCTAACCCTGAATTTTAGTCGACACAATTGGGTTAACTAACGAATGCAATAAAATCACGCATTGGAATAGAGGTTGCTGTCCGTACAATAGTCCGAGTCATAAAGAATCTCCAGCATTTTAATAATTAAATTATTTAGAGTAATGCCGTGAGTTCGCAGCCCAACAATGTGGACATGAAACCTATAGTAGTAGAAAGTGTCCATGAAATTCGTATCGACATTTAAGGTTTTCAGATGTAACATATCTGTGAAAACAAATAAAACTTTTTCCTTGTTAAAAAAAAAAATTTAAGAGGAAAAATTCAAAAACTTGTAGGTTTTATCAGTAACAAAGTGGAGAGTAGGAATATTACGCCCTAATGAATGTAGAGATTCCCATGCAATGTCCTAAAGCTGGGCCATTGAGGCGGGCAATCGAAGAGTTGACTTACTCTTCCATGCGTCCAAATATCGCTTTATTTGAATCTCAACGGAAAACTCGAAAATGTGACACTTTCTCTTTTGCATGTCTCTCCCACAGTAGCGATCGCTTTGAGGACGGAATGAGTTGATTAACGCTTATGATATTCCTATAGCGCAGCAGAATGGAGCGTAAATATTGAAGTCAGACGGTGAAAGCGACGGAAAATTCGGCACTTAAGACAACAAAATTAGGAAAGGCGAGATCACGAGATGAAGTTTTGAAGATGCATAGACCTTTTGTTTTACGATCTGTTATGTAATGATATTCCAGACTTGACTATCAACCAGCTCCGGCAATTTTTATCCAGGAAAATGTAACTGAAAATACAACTGATATTGATCTCACTTGCTGCGTATGATCGCAGCCGTATAATTAAGTAGATACCTTCAGTTCTTTGCAAACCGGTCCAACGAAGTAGATATTAAAGGTTCCTCCCAAGATGTTTAAAATTCTTTTACCGGCTATGGCGAACTTCATATGGAATATTGTTGCAATCAATTGATGCTTTCGTCAATGTAATTGTTTCATTTTCGTTCCGTTCTTGAGTTAGATGAGCTTATCTCAGGAACTGCTTTCGATCCGTCTTCCTCTTCTTCTTCTTCTGCTACTACAACTTAATAATCCCTTTTCAAAAATTGCTTACATTGCATTGGTTATCACCTTACTTACTCTTCACGTTTATAGCTTCCACCTATTTGTGTACAGCAAGTATCAACGTTATCCGAATTTCTGCAAAACGCAGAAGTACATGACTAAAGCCATATCTTCCACTATACCAATCAATCCGTAAACATTTTCTACATCAATTTAAGCCAGTCTTGTCCTTTAACTATTTCCTGCCTATTCGCTTGTATTTGTATTCAACCTACAAGTCGCTTTCTTCGACATATACGCGCATAATGAGGCCATACCCTAGAAGAGTCATTCGCCGTGCAACGCCGTATAATGAAAACTTCGTTATATGAAAAGAATTTGTCATTTGTGCATTGAACGATGATTGAAAAGTGCCAAAAGTCACCGAATGCACCGAATGATTGGGGAAAATTTAGACATAATGGAACAATCTTTGCAACCAACTTCCGGTAAAGATGTTTTTCATGAAAGACTTCTTATTTTCTTTTTTCTCGTATATGACCGACCAGCCAATCCGATGGCTTCGATCCCATGTATGTGCAGACATGATGGCGGTTAGGGAACGTTACGGCAGAAGGAAGTAGTATTGCAAGTCTTTCTAATGCAGCAAAAACTGACTTTCAATATTTTAAAATAAAAACTTCTTACGAATAGGATTTCATAGGTAAAAGCACACTGCGATAAGCATCAAACAAACTCCGCGACCGGTTCACTTAATTATCTCTCCATTTTATCAAAGTCATTTCATAGGAAAAATGTATGATTTGCAATATTTTCTAACGAAAATCCCGTGAAGGTAAGTTTATGGCTGCAAAAAGGGATCCTTCGCTATTTGATAAAAAGCATTCAAGCCACGTTTTTGTTGTTGCTTGATTGAAAGCAACGTTGCGAGAACTTCAAATAATCTATAATTTTTCGTCCTCCTTTTTTAATAGGAAATAAAATCCTAGTTATTTTTACACTAAATCCCTGCTCATATGTTACGAACGTTAAACTAAAAGTTAATAACATTCACTTATTTGTCTTTGTCATTTTTTTTTTTTGCTTGGGTTTTTTCCTTTTTTACTTTTCGTTGTCCTTTTTCTTTCAATATTTTTTAGGCGAAAACAAGATGAAGTCGTTTCATTGGAAATGCAAATACGACAACGTTCAGAGCAACAAAAAAAAGCTGGTGTTGAGCTTGATGCAACCTGTCACATATGCCTTAAAACGAAATTTGCCGATGGTGTTGGACATGTTTGCCACTATTGCAATATACGATGCTGTGCGCGTTGCGGTGGCAAAGTAACGTTACGCAGTAATAAGGTATAACAAGAAACTGAGCTAATCAAAAAACGGTATAGGGGTTAACTCAGCCTTCGCGCACTGACAAACTAAACTGAATGTCAACACACTAAGGAAGTGTGCGTAAGTGTGAAAAAAAAAACTTTTGGTGACAGTTAAATGGATCTGTCGGTAAAAGCTTCTTATAACTTAGAAAGTCAATAGTAGTTAGATGGAAAATCAAAAATTTTAACTAAAAGTTAACTAAGTTCGTTGCCTTTTAAAAATTATTTCAAATCTGGTGAAACTTTTTTTACCCAATATCAGTTAAAAAATAAGTTTTACCAAAAAATTGAAAAACCAATAAAAAATTCGGAACTTCTAACATTCGTGGCTAACAAAAAAAGCTATCTCTTTGCCTATTTACGGACTCGTTCGTGCAAACCTTGCGATCGCATAAATGCTTCGTTGTTAATAAACTGCAGGGTCCTCTGGGTAATGGTGGTAATTGATCAACGGCGCCGTGGAAGCCTTATGGCGGAAGCGGGCGCAATTTTTACCCTTTTTGAACGCATATCGTTGATCAATTTGTGAGTCCTGAGTGCTTGGGTGCGGCCCTTCGGGGAGTACTCGTGGTGGTTGTGGTTGGCAAGTTCCTAGCCAAAGTGGAACAATTTGAGTGCAGCTAGGCGTCACCACTGACCAGAGTGGGGTTTATTGTTCGATACACAATAAATCGTTCTGGACTCTGGTGTTGTTTGGGCCCCTACTCTGTGGGGATTGTCTAACTCGCCAGGGGGCGTAGTACGCTTAAAGTGGCTTGGGCCACCGTGGGGTTAAGCCTTTCAGGCAGGAGCCCACGTTAAACCCTTGCTACAAATTCTGTAGGATCCTCTGCCTGACTGCCGGGACGGCCCTTAGGGGAGTTTCGTGGTGACTGTGGTTGCCCCCAACATCGCGGGAACCCTAAATATTTGAGGTGTTCGATAGGCCCCGTCTCCGCCAGAAGGAAGGGCATGCCATACACAAGCCCTTGATCTGAAACTGCAGAGAGCCTCCCTGCTCCCTGTGGGACGCACTCTCACCTCGTGTGTCAGCGGGCACCGCAGGGTTAAGCCTCATAGGCAGGCATCTGCGTAAAACCTCCTGAAACACTTCTGTAGGGAGGAAGATTTTAACTTACGATACAAATATTTATCGGAGCCTCCTTAAGATACAGTGAAAGCCTTCAATAATGCGTATATAACCAACGAATTGATCTCGCCTGAGATGGAGGTTAACTTTACACTCCTTAGTAGTTATGCCCTAAATCGGTCAACAAGTTGAAGTTTTTTTTTATACATTTTTTTTCCTTTTGGACAAAACAAATTATGGGGTTTTTTATTTATAGGTTTGTTGCGTCTCCGCGTTCGCGGTATTTCTTTAATCACTCTTTAAATATAATTATGATAATTTATTTGGTAAGCAGAATAGGTGCAGCAAACACTGCAACTTATCCTTACGTGCAACTTGTTTATGTTGTCATCATTAGATTGTGTAGTGTAGAGGTCATGATACCATTCCTTGTCCAATTAAGTAAACTTAAATTAAATTTTTTCAAAGATTATATTCTTATTTTTGAATTAATATTTTTGGGATTTTTGGCCCACGCAAACAAATGTTGATATAGCTTTTAAAACATTGTCTCATTGAAACCTGTGATGATGGTGCGATTATCCTGTGGATTTGTGACCTTTCCACGCACCCGATCTACGCCCACACATATACTTGGTTCATTCATTTTATTTCATTTAACTTTTCATGTACACATGTAACATACGCGTACAACATACTTGCGAACATTTCTAATAGCGAGTGTACATACAGTGTATGTAGATTTTCCGTGCTCGGCTTAATCATGTTCGTTTTTTTTTTGCTTATGCCTTTATATCGAACGTAAAACTTTGTCCAAGAGATACCTTGATCCCTAATTTTTACATGTGGCTTACGATATCTTAAATGCGAAACTTCGGAAAATTCGAAAGATGAATCCGTTCACAAAGTCGATCTTTTCTCACTTTTTATATTCTATACCACTGTATCAGTTCCTGAAACGATCTATTAGCTTGCCTGTCCACCTGTCTGCAATTTCAAAGTGATTCAATTTACAGCGACTTGTTTTGGCCCATTGAAAACAGTTCGGATCGACCACTTCCCGGATAATGCCTTATTTTGAAAAGTCGTTACATGAATAACTGTACGATACGGTAGGACATTAGGTAGTAAAAGTATTTTCACTTGTTTTATATAACTATTTGAAAATTTCAGAGTTTTTAGTTTAAGTGAAGTTAAAAAATTATCGTAATTGGGCGGCAAATCGCCCAAAAAAAAAAGGCATATATAAGGCCAAGCGACTACATATGGTTTTTAATTTGTACAATAACCCAAGATTGTAAAACTACTACTACTACTACTACTACTGTTGAGGGTTTCCTTCAACCATGCAATAAAATATTCTGTATGTATACATTCGTACGTATACACTGTATGTATTTAGGCAGATGGTGGTTATTGAAAAATTTGGCACAAACTGATAATAACTTGTTTCTTGTTTATGTTGCTTTCAGTTGTTTGTTGAATTTTCTTATCATTGAAACCGTTTGTTTCTCTTTTCCCCTTTTCCCACTCTTTGTTGCCTTTGCTATGAGGAACATAAATGGGTCTCGATTCGCCATCAACAGCCATTACTCGCAATGAACATCTTTTACTAATTGTTGTTGTACATAAGTTTGTTAATTTTCTGTTTTATTTTATTTCACGCGGCAGGTCATTTCTATTTGTGAGTTTGTGTGCGCCTGTACGTGTATGTAAGTTTTTCTCAATGTATTTGGCTACGTTTGTTAGTTATGTAAATGTGGGTCACTTGATACCTTACGGCGCAGGAAGAAGAAATGGGGAAAAAAGAAACCTCAAAGATGTATTTTTATATCGAAAATTCGTTACTATTTGTGTTGGCGGGACGAAAATTGATAATGAAAAATTCCTAATCATATTTTGGCTCAGCACAAACTTGCTCTAATTGACTCCTTGACCGTCTTTTATTGCTTAAGATGGAATGGAGGAAGCATGAAGCATCCGTCAGAGGAAAAAGAAACTAAAAAAGCAATTAAGATAATTATGTCACACTTCAAATGATGCATTTCGCTGTCATGATTAGATAAACACAAATTTACAAATCCCTATCCATATAATCATATGCATATATGTATTAAATAACTTTAATATTCAAGTGAGATTAAACTAATCTTTCTTAATTATCTGCATAAGTGATAAGTGAAGACTACTACTACCAACGGTTGTCGGTTAATTGTTTCTCGATAATATTTCACATTTAATTTCCAAACCTCACTTTCAAACAAACTTTTTGTAAGTGCCTTCGATCAATTTGTGTTTTGCAAAAAAGCAAAAAAAAAGAAGCGATTTACGCCTGCTTGTTATTGTTGTGGCTCTCGTCAGCTAATATTACTTGTTTGGCACCACAATTATAATCTTCTTCTTTGTCTCACCATTTTCAAACATAACCGTATCCTTGTGTTTATAACTTGGTATGGCTGTTAACCAATTTCCTTTCTATGTTCATATGAACAGCGTTGGCACAGCATCAATAGAATTCAGTTGGAAATGTAACAATAAGGTAGTTTTTCTTGCTAATTTAATTCAATTATTCACCAAAGTGGTAGAATTGTTTTTAAGGGCCTGCAATTGTTGGCAGCGAACCGAGAGATTTCATATTTAAACATAATCATAAAACTGACCGACCCGTTATCGAATGGCTTATACTGCGAAACAAGAAATGATCATTAGACGTTTGCTGCAAGGAGCAGGCAATCAATTGATTATAATTAATTAACGATTCCAGGTTATTTGGGTGTGTATACTGTGTCGTAAAAAACAAGAGTTACTATCAAAAACTGGCCAATGGATTAACAAGGTGACCGTACACCAAGATGGTTTCATAAGACGCATAGAGCCCGATGGCAGTAGCGTAAGTCTCAAAAGCAAAATGGAGAATGAAAGAGAACATTTCACCTTGAACGTAAATTCCAAACAGGACATATCTCAGCAAACGGTCGCAGATATACATGACAACGCTGATAAGCGGCCAAAGTTGGAGCGTACGCGTAGTGCAGCCGAAAAGGAAAATCTGCCGTTAGAGCATACAGGTAGCGTGTTGAGACGTCAGTATTCCCAGCAAGATCAGACAACGAATCGTCGCATGTCAGGCACAGAAGCAAGCGTGGACGCCATGAATCAGAGTCAACAAAGGCAACGTGTTCAATCTATAACCTCACAGCAACAACAATATCGCGCCCAAAATGATATTATAAGCAGCAATATGGGCGGTGTCGATTTAACAACGTACGCCGAAGAAGATCTTCGTTACTATCAAGTACGGCTATTAAGAATTTATCTCATATTCGCACTATACTAAGATCTCTTATGCAAAGATGTACATTTTTTATATAATTTTTTTGTTGAAATGCTTTTTTAGGGAGAAATTGATGGTCTGATGAGACAACATCCGCACTTAACGCATCCAAGTCAACGACAACAACAGCAGCAGCAAATTCATTCCACATTATCGCAACAGCAACAGCAACAGCAACAGTATCAACAACAGCAAACAATGATTGCTGGCTTGCGTGGCCAGAGTCATGCCCTGCCATCTTCCCATCAAACACAATTGCCTCATCAAGCTCAGCAGCCATTACAACAACAACAACAACAAAAAGCTGCAATCCATTCATCTTCTTCTTACAGCAATGCACAAATGTCAGCGATGACTACTACAACGCATCATCATGCAGCAATTGCTGCTGTGTCTCACTTATCGATGCCCTCCCATAACTTGGGAAGCAGCGTCACAAACCAACCGCCAAACAATACTCAGACTTCCTCTCAGAAACCGCCATTAATACAACGTGAAAGTGGTTACCCGAGGGACTCAGCGTCGTACAGTACTCGTCGCCACATGAGTAGCACCCAACAACAACAACAACAACAACAACGGAATTTTAATAATTCCGAAGAGGAAATGCAAAGTCATTTGCTGAGAGTTAATACAGGACAATATGAATATGATGGGGTCGGCCCTGGTAAGTTAAAACGTTTTGTCCAATTTTTCACCGTTATTATTATTATTATTATCATTATGAACACTACGATTATTATTATCATTTTTATTGTTATTATTTACATATTTTTTATTTATTAATTTTTTTTGTTATTTTACATATCTTTTTTTCTTAATACATATTTTCCTTCCTTTTCGGTAAGTTACATTAACACACTCTTTCGCTCGCTATTTCGTATGTGCGTCTACGTCCACATCTTCTTCTGTATATTGGATATGCGTACTTATCTCTCTCTCTTTTTCTTTTCCTCTTTCTTTCTCAATCTTATCTCTTACTTTTCCCCTTCTACTTGAAACATCCCTTTTCGTATACAAACTTAATAAATTTGTAATTTTTCTTTTTTTATGTTCATATATTAAACTTTCCCCTAAGCTCAATACCTTTAAAGTAACTCGTTATGATAATACATATAAATTGATCGTATTATCATAAAACAAACGGACAGAGAAAAAGGACGCAAAGCATTTCAAAATTTTCCGCAACTTCTTAAACTTTTAAGTTAATTTCAAATTTTTGATCATTTTAAAAAACATGGAACAATCTATAGATCCGAAGCAGTCTTGTACGACGCTATATGCCTTCTATTTCAAGAGTAAATGCGTCCGTTTCAAAATTCTTCGCTTGTTCTTGTTTTTTCTCTTTATAATTTCTTTCTTGCAAATTTTAAGTAGGTTCTTTCAACTTTGAAGGAAATTTTAGCAAAAGAAACTTGGAAATTCCAAAATATTAATGTCCTCGGTATTGTATTTTTGTTGGAAATCTTTAAATAAATTTATTTAAATGATACTTCGCAATATCTCTAAAATCGATTCTGATTTCGATGATCATTGAAATCAGATGTAGAATTATTTAGCCATTAGCTAGACTAGAAGGACTAAACTTAAAAACTGTACAACTGTACAACTGGGAACAAAGCTCCACTTTCATATCATATGAAATGCAAAAGATCGATGTCAAATTTTCGAATGTCTTGAGCTTGAATGAATGATGAAAGTCTTTGAGAAAAATGCTTTTGTAAATAATTTTTCATATTTACTCTTAACCCTTTGCACTCCCATGTCGACAATGTGTTTCTTGCACCGCACTCCGCATGTCGAGCTAGAGTCAGCTTTACATCAAATGCTGGACGATTGCTTAAACACTTTCTATGTCTTCCTTGCAAATTAATTACGGCTTTAGTGATAGGTAAAAAAACAAAAATTACGATTGCAAGGATTGAGTGCAAGTTTTCTTCTTGTCTCCGAAATATTTATGGCATCTCGATAACAAAGGTCATTAAAATTTTATGGAATCTATATTTGCTTTAAAAACGTTTTTCAAATGCATTAATTGAGCATAGGATAGATATCATGATACTCATCCTAGATTCGTTTAACGACAAACCTATCTCATGAAAAAGTTTTAGGAGGCCAAGTGATCTTGGTGAACAAAAAAATTGTTCAACGTTGACTGCCGATGAATACGGTTATATTTTAGAGTAGGTGATTGCATTGCGCTGTTGTATTGTATGATAGGCTATTGGATCTCATCCCTCTTCTTTGGAGGAGTTCGCTTCTTTCACATCTTCGCAAAAGTGGAGTTACATCGGTTAGGTTATCGTCAGGCAAAGTGGGCTGCTTTTATTGCTGCTTTCGCGACAGCTGATATTCCACAACGTTGCGTTTGCGTTGTAATAGTTTAGGCTACGTTCCACGGTTCGTGGGAATTACTTCACATTTGAACTGCTGGACTCTCTCTGATAGTAGCTTTTGAGTGACGTTCAATCGTCCGTCAATTAATGATTTTTGTGCATAGCCAATTCGCTGCGAATATCGTGGTCGAATAATCCTTGTGTCAGCGAATCTAAGTAGCCTCTTAACTTATTCATATAATTAAAGAGTACGAAGTGCACATGACAATCCACGCGGGACAACTTTCTGCGCATATTTTTCGCAATTTCTATTTACTTACTGTGCTTTTAGGTTAGTGGCTATCTCGATGTATTCTTATTATTATTTTTACAATTTTTATTCTGTTGCCGTGATGAACGCTCTTGGTGAGCGCGGGGAATTGACTATTCCCAACGATTGCCTATAATTATGTATTACTACTTATGTTCAACTGGCTTCTTTTCTCTATTTGACGAAATTCAGTTTCACTCCAACGTAAAATTAAAGATGTCCTTCAATTTCTTGCTGCTCAAGCTTATCCTTTGTCGATTAGTAAGCATAATTGTAGAGACTGCCCACATTTGATGGACAAAATTGTATTTTGCGTAAGTTACTCTTTCAATTATTTTCCAGCCCCACCCCCCCTTATGCAGCTCGCATAAATTAGCCCATGGCATATAGGTTTCATCTGTACATTTAAAAAAGAAAAACTAGTGGAAATTATTATTATTACGTTGGCAACAAATATACGTACTTTCAAGCGTGCTTTCTTTAAAAAATTTTGGGAAACATCGATTCATAAGAAGAATTAATTTTTTTTAAAATTCCTTTATATAATTTCTGCTTAGAAATTCTAATTCCAATAGAAACGTTAGGTAGTGCTTGACTCAGTTCAAAATAATGGCAAATTAATCTGCGGCAAGTCGAATCTTCTTCATATACAAGATTGCTCGTATATGTTTCTGAAAATAAAAAGGGGCTTTGGAAATTCGCATTTCAGCTGCGAGGGGAAGAAACTCTAACGTTTGCTGTTTGCAGTGCAACTAAGTTGATTTTACGGATCTGACGTTATCCGGCGAAAAGTCTGCTGTCCATTGATATTCCCATTGTCAACCAGTAGGCTATTTGATGGAAGATGAAGGATACCTATTCTCCTAATAGTTCCAGCAAAATACTGGATATTTAAGAAATATTACCTCAGTTGGTAGCCTTTTTCGGCGGATTTGAAAGCGAATCTTTTTTTTGAAAATGTTTATAAACATTCAACAAGAAGAAGGAAGCATTTTGCTATTTTTATCAAGTTGTTCACTTAACTCTGTATCTCTTATTTACTTTAACTGCACATCTTCCGGCAAACAGGCAGAAATTATCATAACTAAAATACTTTTTTTTTTAAGTTAAATTAATGGACGTAATATGTCGAAAACTACACTGTTACATTTTGTCAGTGTAATAAAACAAACAGGGGACGAACTTTATGAAATATTATTGAATATCTGTAACGATATTTATTTGAAATAGGGACCGATACTTGTACTGAGACAAGTTTTTCTTGTTAAAACTTGAAATATTTGTCATTTCGTTTATGTAAAATGAAAAGCGATTTGAACTATTGGCGTTGATATAGAAAATATATAGAAAAAAGACGGCAGGACAACAAAGAATGTCCGACGATTGCAGACGCAGACTTTGCGTTCCACAATAAAAAAATAAAAAAATGTGTGCGGGAATATAAATAAAAAATACATCGAGAAGACATTGAATTCAACAAAAACAAAGTGGAAAGGGGAGCGAAAACGTATGCAAGTATTTGAGTCTTTTCGAACGCCCACTTGAAGTGCAGTAATTAGTATCATAAATTTCCTCCTCCTTGTAGGAAGCGTTGGAAGCGAAAAGGCAGGAGGCAGAAGTTCAACACAAAAAACAAAAAGAAACTTTCCGCAGTGTTACGCTTTAATAGCGCCTTGCACAACCACCACTGGATACATGTATATGTATATATGTAAATATGTATATGGTTTAGAAGCATGCGTTAAAGATCACACAATGTACATAAGTATGTATAGCATAACGAATCCATGTGACTCTTAGGTAGTATCATCTTTCAAAGGAGACGTCAAAATTCCATGACATTCCGACCGTAAGTCTGTAGCGTGCACTTGTTCTATGTTTTCTATCAAATAAAAATTGCGCATACTATTATTAATTAATTTCAAGTTTCTCGAAAACCCGATCCGCAAAATTTCTCCGCAATGAAGTGTCATTTAGTTTAAACTCTTGAACGACCTAATTTATTTTGCATGGCTTAGAGCGCACACCTTTTGAAAGGATACGCCACGTGAAGCCTTAAGAATGTGCAATCTCTTCCGACGAGTTAGATTCCTAACAGCATACCAACTGATCGTTTGATTTGTAATTTTCAATTACATTACAAAGAGCTCTGTTGGTCAATTCTACGTAACATGTGAATCGTTTCGTATCCCGAATCGCTTCATTATTTTTGCAATAAATTTTAATAATTTCTGTACGCTGTACAACTGCGCCGCTTCTCCTGGTGACTTGCCAAGCAATATTGAAGACAGATGCCAATTTTGGTAGCGATTGGAAAAAAACGGATGCTACAATTTTTAAAAAGCATTAGAACTAGAGCAAATAAAACACTATAGTGGGACACCGTCTATTGTTAAATACCATCCATACACCACTTCGCCCATGTATCCACAAAAAAAAAAAAAAATTCAAATTACTTGTATGACGTTCAGAAGGACAGACAGACAGACAGACAAGCTTAAATCGGTTGAGAAAATGATTCTGAATAACAGCTGGGTCTATATCAAGCGCTACTTGGTGTTCTATAGACACATACATGCCGATGTATGGTCCGATTTTTAATAGCCACCAGCTTTGTTAAAAAAAAAAAGAAAAAAAATTAAAAGAAAGGCAAAAATTATTTTTCGTATTGTGGAAGTATAGCATGCGTGACCGCATAGAATTATTCGTTTCTGTCAAAGATCTCCTCACCCACACGGCATACGTGATAACTTTTGAGGGAAACACCAAATTTTTGTGCATATTTTCTGTGCCAACTTGGTGTTCGTTATTTAATTTTTCCCTTCAGGAGAATACTTATCATCCACATATGCATAGGTGACCAGGAGACCGGCAGACAAACGCAAAGCAATTCAAAACTTGATACTGAGCAAAGATATACAAATAGTTGTCTCGTAGATATTGCAAAGGTTTCAGCGAAATGAATATACTTGCAACTTTCGATAGTGGATATAATAAAAGTAGCCGAAATTCTTAACAAGA